GCAATCGGAAGCCAGTGGAGGGATTGGCAGAGGGGGGTGGCGGAGACGGAGCGGTTGGAAAGGTGAATGAGTCTGGCAGCCGAATTCAGGATCGACTGAAGTGGGGATAACCAGCGGCGAGGCAGGCCAGTGAGGAGGGAGTTGCAGTAGTCGAGTCGTGATATGATGAGGGAGTGGATGAGCTGTTTAGTGGTTTCTGGGGTTAGTAACGTGCAGATTTTGGCGATGTTGCGGAGGTGGAGTCTGCATGAGTTTGTTAAAGATTGGACTTGGGGCTGGAAGGATAGGTTGGAGTCTAGAATGACACCAAGTACTCTGGCCTGCGGGGCGGGTTTGATGGTGGCGTTGTTCGATGTGATTGAGAAGTCAATGGGGGGTGGTGTCCGGGCTGGATAATTAGATGAGTTTTGATATGTTTAAAGTATACTTGTAGGACTGAGATTTTGGTCTTAACTATATACTATATGTAATTTATGCACCTTGGTCAGAACCACAGGATTTGATTTAGTATCTATTATTGACACAATATTGACATTATTATTGACATATTTGGGGCTTATTTGTAGCATTGAGAGTTTGATTCCAACTACATGTAGGCAATATATGCACTATAGTTTTTGACACTTCAGCATATTTTATATCTGTTCAAAGCTTCACGCTACATCATTAATGTATCTCATAATTTACCTTTGGTGATAGGGTACCAAAATAGGTGTTAGCAGCAGCTGATTTCTTAGTAGCCATTTGGGGTCAAGTGGCAGTGCACAAGTTATTCTTGATATGGATGTTTCATATTACCCGGTTAGTTGTGCTGTCAGGGTGGGTTTGTGAATTCTTTATTGAAGTCAGTACACTTCGTCATTTGCATTTAGACTGATGTATTTTTCAATCTTCTGCCCTACACATTCAAGAATACCTCCTGCTATCATTCTTGAGTTCTTTATTGTATTGATTTGGGAACTCTTTTGGTCCTCCATCCTCTGTCGGTGCCGTCCTTTAGCTATTTTATGGTGGTTTCAGATTCCTGATGTTGCAGGAGGATTGCATTTTCAGGTCATTGATAATATGTGGCTGGTTGTAAATGCTGGGGCATGCCCCTGACATTCATTAGAGCTGAAGAAACTGCTTAGATAAGCAGAAAAATGTCTATAACGATACAGTCCAGCAGAATGTGAGTTACTACTACTAGCTATACCATGCATGACCTCAAGAAATGAGAACCTTCATAGACATATTTTTTGGGAACATTTTTTCTTGGTCAATAGTAGACATGTGCGATTTGTTTTGTTACGAATCTAAATTTGGACGAAATTTGCGTTATATGGAGATTCAAATTTATCTGAATCTCTAAATTACAATAGTAACTGTGATGGACTGCCTGGCACCGTGACTCGGGGCCTCTGCCTAACAATGCTCCTGCCCTCCAAACCCTTCCAGCAGACTGATAGCTAATACTAGTCCTTTACCCCAATTCTCATACACAGACAAGATGTTGAAGTAAAACCAATGGAATCCTTTTATTAAACAGAAGTACAGGTGTTTATACACTTTAAAAATAGCAGCAGTCACTATATGAACAATAAAAACAAATATTACACATTGGGGTAAACATCACACAATGGTTAGGTAAGGAGGTAAAGCTGACACCAGACGAATCTAAATTCGGCCAAAATTTGCATTATTTGGAGATTCAAATTTATCCAAATCTCTAAATCACAATAGTAACTGTGATGAACCGCCTGGTATCCCGACTGGGGGCCTTTGCCTAACAGTGCCTCCAGCCCTCCAAACCCTTCCAGCAGACTGATAGCTAATACTAGTCCTGTACCCCAAGTCTCATACGCAGACAAGATGCCCAGGTAAAACCAACGGACTCCCTTTACTGAACAGAAGTACAGGTGTTTATACACTTCCAAAAATAGGGGCAGTCACCATATGAACAATAAAAACAAATATTACACATTGTGGTAAACATCACACAATGGTTAGGTAAGGAGGTAAAGCTGACATCAGGCTAATCACATCAGGAGTATTAGCTAACAGAAACAATAGGTTCCTCAATTAAAAATGGGAATTCACACCTAGGAGGCACAGAATGGGAAAATTACATGATGGGAGAAAGACACTTCACACCTAGACAGGATAGGCAAACACAGGTATACATCATAACAATAAACACAGAACAACCTAATAAACAGATTACACATAACAGCAGGAGACCCTAGCATCAGGTTGCTTTGAGCTGATTCTAAATCTTCTGCTTTGAGTCTCTGAGTCTAGGAGGGGGTTGAAGCAGTCAGTGCTGATTTGGACTGTTGATTTTATACCCAACAAAACACAGAGGTCCCAAATCTGCATCCAGGTCCCCCAGTTCTCAGAGTCTGTGGGGTTGATGTACTAAAGGCAAATAGACTGGGCACTCTGCAAGTGCAGTTGCTCCAGAGTTTAGCAAATGAGCAGAAGCTCTGCTGACCTCCGTCATCCAATCATGTGCAAGCAAAAATGCTGTTTTTTTATTTTCCTTGCATGTGATTGGGTATTCTTGGCAAAGTAAAGCTTTACCTCATTTACTAAGCTCTGGAGCAACTGCACTTGCAGAGTGCACAGTCTAATTGCCTTTAGTAAATCAACCCCTGTGTGTTTAGGTGATACATGTACTTGAATTCAAAGTAAAACTACTTCAATCACCCCGACCCCGGCACACACTTCCCAGAGAATAGAGCCCCCTCAAACACCAGGGCCCATAGCAGGCAAGAGGCTAGCCTGCAGCCCCCTCCAAAAGCCCCTTGTCCTGGTTGGGTCTGTTACATTAACACAATTCAACAAATCTAAAATAAATTATGACAAACACAACAAATGTATTTGTTTCATTCATTTGTGACTTCAGAGGGCTTCAATATTATGTGCCACACTCTGTATTGTTAAGATTGGCCAAAGCCAAAGTCCTAAGACATCAAATTCCCAAGACATCAAAGTCCCAAGACATCAAATTCCAAAGACATCAAATTCCCAAGACATCAAAGTCCCAAGACATCAAATTCCAAAGACATCAAAGTCCCAAGACATCAAAGTCCCAAGAAATCAAATTCCCAGGACATCAAATTCCCAAGACATCAAAGTCCCAAGAAATCAAATTCCCAGGACATCAAATTCCCAAGACATCAAAGTCCCAAGACATCAAATTCCAAAGACATCAAAGTCCCAAGACATCAAAGTCCCAAGAAATCAAATTCCCAGGACATCAAAGTCCCAAGACATCAAATTCCAAAGACATCAAATTCCCAAGACATCAAAGTCCCAAGAAATCAAATTCCCAGGACATCAAATTCCCAAGACATCAAATTCCAAAGACATCAAATTCCCAAGACATCAAAGTCCCAAGACATCAAATTCCCAAGACATCAAATTCCAAAGACATCAATATCCAAAGACATCAAATTCCCAAGACATCAAAGTCCCAAGACATCAAATTCCCAAGACATCAAATTCCAAAGACATCAAATTCCAAAGACATCAATATCCAAAGACATCAAATTCCCGAGCAAGTTGCATCGAAGTCACAAGCAAGTCGCTTTAATAACATAATGATATAATGAATGAATCCAAATCTTTGGAAATAAACAAATCAATGAACATAGGAAACAAATAAATCTGAAACGAAACTAATTTTTCCATTGTGAACGTCTGTCTATAGTCAATACAACATATATAGTGAGAGTGCTACACAATTCAACCAAAACCATACCAGGCTACTGTAGCTCTACCCCCACCCCCTCCCCAAAGGAGCCGCTTGGTCATTTGGGTTCTCTGTTCTGTGCCTCGACTCCAAGAACAACCTCACCCCTCTGAAACACCCAGCTGAATGAAAGTTACTGCATGCTCTTATAGGAACCCTAGCATAGATAACTTTAACTTGGCTGTTAGTATCAGGAATTAGACACAAGAACGTTTTGTGGTAAATGAACTCATTGTATTGCTACCAGGTAGAATAAATGGTGGTTTGAGCATAAATGAACACAAGGAAGGTAGGTTCAGACAGTCGGCTAGACAGTATAATCACTATGCCGAGGTAACTTAGAATAGAGTTCTGTAGACTGGGATTAGGGCATGAATCAGCAATAAACAGTACATATAAGCCTTAAAGTGGTTGTACACCTCAGACATAAAATATAAACAAAGCACATCCCTCTGTAGTGTGTACTTGTCTCAGTCCAGAACACTGAGTGTCATTTCTGTCTTCTGCCTCATTCCTCTGCTATCAGCATGAGTCCCTTTTGACAAGTTTTCCTGACACCAAGAGAAAAATGGTGATAGGGGAGGGCACAGCCTGTGATTGACAGCCTCAGCTGTGTTCCTGTGAGCTGTGTGGAGGGGGTGGGGGTGTCCCTTCCCTCCAATCACCTCTCAGAGCTTTTCACTGATGTAACTTCTGCTCCCCGCCCTCAGCTTTTACAGAGCTGATAGATCCTGTGTAAAGTTTGCACTTTGAATGGATGTAAGGGCAAAGATGGCTGCAGATAAGCAGGTACAACTTATGTAGGAGGATTTGTTTCAGCTCTGTGTACCACCTGAGGCCGGTCACTTCACTGAGTATATGTGAGGGGTTACAACCAGTTTAAGTGCAATGTAAATATTAGTACTAATAGTACTACATAGCTAATTTAGAGCATATTCTAGGAGAACGGCTAGGATGGGGACTCCTGATGTGAGGCGGGGATCTCTGATGGGGACCCTGATGTAAAGGGGGACTCTGATGGGGACCCCGATGTAAAGGGGGACTCTTATGGGGACCCTGATGTAAAGGGGGACTCTTATGGGGACCCTGATGTAAAGGGGGACTCTGATGGGGACCCTAATGTAAGGGACACTCTGATGGGGACCCTGATGTAAGGGGGGACTCTGATGGGGACCCTGATGTAAGGGGGCACTCTGATGGGGACCTTGATGAAAGGGGGCACTCTGATGGGGATTCTAATGTAAGTGGGACTCTGATGGGGACCCTGATGTAAACGGGGACTCTTATGGGGACCCTGATGTAAAGGGGGACTCTGATGGGGACCCTGATGTAAAGGGGGACTCTTATGGGGACCCTGATGTAAAGGGGGACTCTGATGGGGACCCTAATGTAAGGGACACTCTGATGGGGACCCTGATGTAAGGTGGGACTCTGATGGGGACCCTGGTGAAAGGGGGCACTCTGATGGGGATTCTAATGTAAGGGGGGACTCTGATGGGGACCCTGATGTAAGGGAGCACTCTGATGGGGACCCTGATGTAAGGGTGGACTCTGATGGAGACCCTGATGTAAGGGGGGACTCTTATGGGGACCCTGATGTAAGGGAGCACTCTGATGGAGACCTTGATGTAAGGCTGGACTCTAATGGAGACCCTGATGTAAGGGGGGACTCTTATGGGCACCCTGATGTAAGGGGGGACTCTAATGTAAGGGAGCACTCTGATGGGGAACTTGATGTAAGGATGGACTCTGATGTAGACCCTGATGTAAGGAGGCACTCTGATTGGGACCCTGATGTAAGGGGGAACTCTTATGGGCACCCTGATGTAAAGGGGCACTCTGATGGGGAGCCTGATGTAAGGATGGACTCTGATAGAGATTCTGATGTAAGGAGGGACTCTGATGTAAAGGGGCCCTGGATGAGAAAGATGCAGACTGGATGTATTTTGGATCAACCTTTATTAATGGCTCAAGTGTATTTGAAATGTCTTTGTTTTGTCTCATGTGTAAGGCACTGCGTAAATTGACAGCACTATGTAACCTGAAATAAACAAATATATATTCTATTCTTTTATTTTCTAATACTTTATGGGAAAGAGATGATTATTTTCTATTCTATTCCTTTCAAAATTTGAATTTCGGAAGCTGGCTATATTCTAATGCACACAGTCTTTGAAGGAAATCAGCAATAGTCAGCAATGTGTTGAGATTTCTAATTTGTTTTCAATTTTGATTTTTTTTTTTTTTCAAATTTGTTTTACATTCAGTTTGAATTTGGATAATTCATTATTTCGGACAAAATTGTGTTTCATTATTTTGGATTAGTTTTAATTCTTTACTATTGTAATTTGGAAATTCTGATACATCTGAATCTCCAAACAACAAAAATTTTGTCTGAATTACGATTCAGAACAAAACAAGCTGCACACATCTAATGCTGATTATAAAATAAAGCTCCAAGTAAAACATAATTATTCATCTACATTTTTTTTTTTTTTATAAAACTGATTTTTTTTTCAGCCTGTGAATCTTTGTAAAATACATAATGTAGTCCTTATTCGGAAACATCTGGAGATTCCTGGTTTAACCTCCCTGGAGGTATTTCCGAGTGCAGTTCGGGGTAAAGTTTCAGCACCACAAGCGATATCTTGCAGTGTTGCCCCAGGATCCCTTCTTCACTTACCTTGTCCTGCGCTCCTGCGATGTCCCCCCTGCAGTGTCCCCTGTAATGTCCTCCGGCCGATGCCAGCATCCGTCTTTTGGGTTCCGTTCCCTGCGACGTCGGGACGTACGGGGGACGGAACGGCGAGAAATTTAAAAATGTGAAAAAGTGACATTCACTAAATTCACTAAAATCACATAGTATAACATTCCTGTATCAAACCATTTCACATACATTTTGTCCCGAGTGCTTTGTCCGGCGCCCTGCCTGCATTTTTACTGTTCTTTCTGCCTGGAAACTGAGAAACGTCCATGGCGTCCAAAAAGCGTCCCTTTAGGTCAAAAGCGGTTTTTAGACCGGCTAGAGAACAGCGATAGTAAATCAGAATCACTTGCAGAATTGAGTGATAATAATTTGTGGGGAAATTCCTCATCAGACACTGAAAACGATTCTGCGACTGAGCTCAGCGATGTGCAAACTTGGCGCTATATTTCAAATTTCAGTGTTTTTGGTTTGATTATACTATTGAATTAAATGTATTATTATTATATTATAATTTTTTATGATTATTTACTAAATTATAATTTATGATTTCATGTTTCAAATTTTATCATACCCGGGATGTTTACTAGACTTTTGTTCGGACAGATTTCAGTGAGTTATTCCTAAAAATTACAGGCCTACAATAAAAAAAAATACATATTTCCATGCAAAAAAATGTACCGCTTTGAGCACAGAAATACTGACATAATCAGACTGCTAGGGAGGTTAAGTGAACCTGTTGCTTTGCCCTAAATGAGCACCTAAAGTCAGAAGGGCTGAGGGCTGCACATTACCCTCCAGTGTCTCCCAGAGTTTCAGAAAAGGATACTGATGTACATTCCAGTTTCCTATGATTGTGTGTACCAGATTGTATATTGACTTGATTCTCCAACTCTTTCAATGCCTCTTTCCCAGTAGCAACATGTTATAATGATCTCTAGCCCAGCCACAGAGCTTGCACCCCCTGGGAAATAAATGGAGAGAAGGTCATAAAGCATTTAGCACTTAATAATCTTGGCAGAGCTTAAAACGAGAAATGGATGATGAATGGGTCATTTTTGAGCCATAGAAAATTAAAGGGAACATTGACCCTCTTTACACGATTTAGCCTTGCAATGAACCTACCGGAAAATGCATTTTTCAGATATCATTTGATTTTAAAATAGGATGGTGTGATTTGTGTTTCGCTCATTTGTACACCATAAGCATCACCCACCATTCACAAGTATGTCTGAGACTTTATTCTCCAAATTTGATGGAGAGTACAGAAAGAATAGCTGTTTTTTTTTTTTTACAAATTATATTTCAGAACATATAACATTTTAACGTGTCAAAGATTTTATGGGAATGAGATGAAGCTCTGGCAAACATTTAAAAATACACTAATTTATCTAGTAATGTATTTATTTAAAAAAAAAAAAATTAGAATATATATATATATATATATATATATATTCTATGTATTTTAGCATGCAGCTAGTATATGTACCTAAATCTGTTAAATGTATTCCTTATGGCGCCGCTCCAAGCTATGGATGGAAGGAAAAAGATCACCCCACCGGAAAGTGAGAAGAGCATGAGTCCGAGCGATTCCAGTGTCAATACAAGTGAAGGGATGGATGCTGCTCATCTGACCCCAGGAGCCCAATGTTGAGGAATGGCCTCAGCAACCGTTCTGGCCACGCCCTCTGATGTGTTTTGGCCGGTCCCCTGTGGCCAAGCCTCAGTGGGCGGGACAAAACATGTCAGAGGGCATGGCCAGAATGGCGGCTGAGACCATTCCTCAACATTGGACTCCTGGGGTCAGTTGAGCAGCGTCCATCCCTTCACTACCTACATCTGTTGTCACATTAGCCTATGGTAGTCCTTGGCTCAGTAGCACATTGGTAGAAGAAGGGGCAGCAATATCGTTCAGCCATTTTTCTTTTATTCTTCATTGCTTGTTAGCCTAACACCCAACATGCTTAGAGGATAGGGGAAGACCTCATCAAGGTTCTGCAGCTTTTTTGATGTCCAGTCACAGGTTAGCATGCAGCTGGCATAGATAGCTTAATTTGTTGTGACAATAGCCTCAGGTAGTCCTTGGCTCAGTAGCACATTGGTAGGAGAGGGGCAGAAATATATCGGTCAGCTATTATTTTTCATTGCTTGTTAGTCTAACACCCAACATGCTTAGGGGATAGGGGAAGACCTCATCAAGGTTCTGCAGCTTTTTTGATGTCCAATCACAGGCTAGCATGCAGCTAGCATAGATACCTTAATCTGTTGTGACATTAGCCTCAGGTAGTCCTTGGCCCAGTAGCCCTCACACATGCAGAAGGGGGCAGCAATATCAGTCAATCAGGGTTCTGCTGTTTTTTATGGTTTGTTAGCCTAACACCCAACATGCTTAGAGGATAGGGGATGACCTCATCAAGGTGCTGCAGTTTCTCTGATGTCCAATCACAGGCAAGGGGAGAAGAGGTGTCCAAGGGCGTACAACTACATCAGTCATATATTCCTCTAGCATCCCTTAGGTAGGTGAGTGCCATCAGCTTGATATCAGAAGAAGTGTGTTGAATGGAGCACTTAAAAGATGCCATAAGGGCAAGGTAAGACATATTTGTAAAACATATCATTAGATCCTTATTTTATCATTTTTTTCCCCCAGAAGTTCTGCTATATAATCTTATTAATGTTTTTCAATTTAAAAAAAAAAAAAAAAACTGCTTCTACATAGAAAAACACAAACAGCTGTTATGGTTAGTGTCAGGGCTCCAGGTATGACCAGAGGGGTGTGGACTGACACAGGGAAACGCAGGCTTCAGATATAGTAAATAATATAATTTATTGAGACTAACAATACAAATATAAACGCAGTGCACCAAACCCCAAGCTAACACTAATACATACAACAAGGTGAAACAAACCCAAACCTAAACTGATACAGATACCCAGGTACATACACATATAGAGCACAACATAGTCAGGCAGGCCGGGTTGATAACTATCGGGCAGGTAGGTACAGGAGGAGCAGGCGGAGAGAATGGTCAGGATCACAAGCCAGGGATTGGCAAGTCCATTCCTGACAGTTAGAGGGAACAATTAACAAGTGTGCCCTTCAACTCTCCCTTTCTGAGGCACCCCTTGTCTCGATCCCAAACTGTCCCTTGTCTCCTTGTCTCCATACTAAACTCTACCTTGTCTCCTTGTCTCCATCCCAAACTCTTTCTTGTCTCCGTCCCGAAAACTCCTTACCTACCTCCCACTAACGACCTTTAATAGAATACAGAACCCAGAATCAATTTGTATGAAATTTGTTCATGATAACAAGAAAAGCAGTAAAATAGATCCCCTGCAGCCAGCAACAATAGAGCCCCCCAGCAACAGTGGACCACCACCTGCAACAAAATACCCCTTTCCCCCCAGTAACAATACTCCCCTGGGAACAACAACAGATATCCCCACAGCCAGCAGCAAATAGCGATGATAGACCCCTCCCTCGACAGTAGTTCCAACCCAGCAACAATTGACCACACAGCAACATGAGACCCACCCCTATCAACAATAGATCCCCCACAATCAACAGTAGACCTCCCCAGCATTAATAGACCCCCCAAAATAAAATAGATCTCAGCGATAACAGATTCCCCAGCAGCCAGCATGAATGGACCCTGCAGTACACACCACCACCTCTTGCCATTACATACATTTCCTGCTGGAGGTTTCGGAACTGCGGTCCCCCATGTTCCCACTGAAAAAAAGCCCTGGTGCCCATTCCGTGAACTGTTATATTAATTATAATCACAATCAAGGCTATAGACTCACATATCTTTTATATATAATATAAAATCATAATAACATATTTGATCCTTAAAAGATGCTTCCAATGAAGCCAATTGTTTGTTTGGCATATTGGAGTATGGAGCATCGCGGTGACTGTCCGCGGGTATGACAGTGGAAACCGCTTCCCTGCCAAAGTTTGCTATGAAGGTGAACCTATCCTTTCATACATTTGGGTTGCTGTTGCTAACCTATCCACCTTTTCTTTTTTTTAATAAATTGGCCAAATGTGCTTCTTGTGACTTAGATTATAAAAAAAAAACCCACGGTAGGCTACAAAGTATCATTCTAGAGTCACAACTTGTATAATAATTGTGGTTTCCTTTGAAGTTGTTACACACCTGTGAT